CATACTTGCCAACCCTCCAGAGTCAGGAGGGAGACTACCGACATGTCATACTTGCCAACCCTCCAGAGTCAGGAGGGAGACTACCGACATGTCATACTTGCCAACCCTCCAGAGTCAGGAGGTAGACTACCAACATGTCATACTTGCCAACCCTCCAGAGTTAGGAGGGAGACTACCGATTTTGGACTCTGAATTTTGGTATTTTTTTTAATTTAGAGAGCCAGGTAGTTTTCTACAGATCGGATGATATCATCTGAAAGAACAACTCGAAATATGTAATTTTAAAGGGTTATCCTGTCTTTAGTGGGGTATATACACATATGTTACTTATGTTTTAATTTTGAGCATGAAGAATCTCTCCCATTAAAATTTTCAAAAAGGTGGCATGTTGCATCTGCTTCAAAGATAAAAACCCAGCACTTTGTTTTGTCAACACTTGGGACAATGGCTTCAACTCTGGTGCTGAACATTAGTAAAGGGCCTTTAACTCTTGTCTTGAATGTACATTTCAGATAAATGTACACCAATCTACAGTTCAGATAACCGTACAGCAGTGTACAGTTCAGATAATTGTACACCAATGTACAGTTCAGATAATTGTACAGCAGTGTACACCAATGTACAGCTCAGATAATTGTACACCAATGTACAGTTCAGATAAGTGTACACCAGATAATTGTACACCAATGTACAGTTCAGATAATTGTACGCCAATGTACATCTACAGGTATTATAATTATTGATGTTGGTTTTATAGAACACTCATTTATTTCATTTATAGGTTGGGATTTCCAGAATCTTTTTCATGTCCTACTTTTGGAAGACTAAAAGGTAGCTTATGAAAAAATATTATCATTGTTCTAGCTACATTATACACACTGCCCACTTCATCCTAAAAATCCTGGACCTGAGCAAGGCTATTATGGTAGTGGTAATTTATTTAAGGGGCTCTGATATGCAATGAAAAGCGAGTTTGGGAAAAAGAAATATGATACTACTTCTAACACTACATAAGATTTTACTGACATGACAGAAAAAATTACCTTGTTAACCCAGCTTATCCAGCTCAGGTGGTAAAAAGAAACACGTTTCAGTTTAAAAGATTAACAAGAGGCCCATGGGCCTTAACGGTCACCTGACATCCGATTCAAATTAGGACTTTCATCCAGGGGCCAATTCATACTTTTTGTTGGTCCGAGTGACCTTGCTGCATCGTCCATTAATTTTTCCTTGTGAACACAATAACTTCAGTAAATATAAAACAATTTTGATGAAACTTTGTATGTAGCTTTGTATCAATGAGATCTTGGATGAGTTTGAATACCGTATCAATTTGACCATCACTTACATAGTTATTCCCCTTGGTAATTCTATTATTGTTTGACCCTGTGAACACGATAACTGAAATAAATGGGTGTGACTTCAATTTTGACCCAAGGGGTCTGTTTTGAACAACCTTGATAACTGTATGTCTTCTGTTCTTGATTAAAAGCGTAAATCAATGATTTATTAAATAAGGCACAAAATTTTAATAGCACCTTGTTAGTAGCAAAAATGCGTCATGAATGAAAAAAAAAGGTGTACCACATGAAATTACATCTATTCTTGTGTAATGTCAATCAATATCACAGGGACAAATAATAATATAATGACAAAGGGCAATAACTCTGCAGGTTACCGTCAAATAATTACTGGACAAAGTCTCATTGAACTCCATCAACATTTATTCAAGTTATCGTATATATCCAATAAGGTCCAATAATAATATTATTACAAAGTATAATAACTCTGTAAGTTACTGTCGAATAATTCCCATTTTCATACTCGTCTGAGATCGTTTTGATATAAGGCTGCATACAAAGTTTCATCAAACTGGGTTAACATTTACTCAAGTTCTCGTGTTCACCATGTCCAATAATAATATTATTACAAAGGGCAATAACTCTGTAAGTTACTGTCGAATAATTCCCATTTTCATACTCGTCTGAGATCGTTTTGATATAAGGCTGCATACAAAGTTTCATCAAACTCGGTTAACATTTACTGTTATCGTGTTCACAAGAAAAAGTTAACGCACGGCGCACGATGCACGGCGCACGACGCACGACCAACAAAAGACTATCACAATAGGTTACCTGACCATAGGTCATGGTAACCTATTGTGATAGTCTTTAGTAAAAATGGCAAAGTATAACAAAAGTCTGCTCATTAACTGTGATATAATAAATTAAATGGCCAATTAAATGTTCAGTCTTTAGCAAGCTGTATCTAAAATGATATTAACAAAATATCCACTGTTCACAGATGATAACTGTGATATATAATATTTGTTTGTCAAATCTTAGGTGAGTAAATTTTTGTAAATATGGGGTTAGTCTTACCTCAAGTAAAACAGGATACTTAACAGGTTACGTGTACACCTGTATAACAGGATACTTAACAGGTGATGTGTACACCTGTATAACAGGATACTTAACGGGTGATGTGTACACCTGTATAACAGCATACTTGACAGGTGACGTGTACTCCTGTATAACAGCATACTTAACAGGTGATGTGTATACCTGTATAACAGGATACTGACATGTGATGTGTACACCTGTATAACAGGATACAGACAGGTGATGTGTACACCTGTATAACAGGGTCCTGACAGGTGATGTGTACACCTGTATAATGGGGTACTGACAGGGGATGTGTACACCTGTCTAATGGGGAACTGACAGGTGATGTGTACACCTGTATAACAGGTTACTGACAGGTGATGTGTACACCTGTATATTGGGGTACTGGCAGGTGATGTGTACACCTGTATAACAGGTTACTGGCAGGTGATGTGTACACCTGTATAACAGGGTACTGGCAGGTGAAGTGTACACCTGTATAACAGCATACTTAACAGGTTATGTGTACACCTGTATAACAGGATACTGAACAGGTGATGTGTACACCTGTATAACAGGGTACTGGCAGGGGATGTGTACACCTGTATAACAGGGTACTGGCAGGGGATGTGTACACCTGTATAACAGGGTACTGGCAGGTGATGTGTACACCTGTATAACAGCATACTTAACGGGTGATGTGTACACCTGTATAACAGCATACTTGACAGGTGATGTGTACTCCTGTATAACAGCATACTTAACAGGTGATGTGTACACCTGTATAACAGCATACTTAACAGGTTATGTGTACACCTGTATAACGGTATACTGACAGGTGATGTGTTTGACTGTATAACAGCATACTTAACAGGTTACGTGTACACCTGTATAACAGGATGCTTAACAGGTGATGTGTACGCCTGTATAACAGGATACTGAACAGGTTATGTGTACACCTGTATAACGGGATACTTAACAGGTGATGTGTATACCTGTATAACAGGATACTGACTGGTGATGTGTACACCTGTATAACGGGATACTGACAGGTGATGTGTTTGCCTGTATAACAGCATACTTAACAGGTTATGTGTACACCTGTATAACAGGATACTGAACAGGTGATGTGTACACCTGTATAACAGGATACCGACAGGTGATGTGTACACCTGTATAACAGCATACTTAACAGGTTATGTGTACATCTGTATAACGGGATACTGACAGGTTATGTGTACACCTGTATAACAGGATACTGAACAGGTGATGTGTACACTTTTTTAAGGGGGTACTAACAGGTGATGTGTACACCTGTATAACGGGGTACTGACAGGTGATGTGTACACCTGTATAAAGGGGTACTAACAGGTGATGTGTACACCTGTATTACGGGGTACTGACAGGTGATGTGTACACCTCTATTATGGGGTACTGACAGGTGATGTGTACACCTGTATAACAGGATACTGAACAGGTGATGTGTACATCTGTATGACGGGGTACTGACAGGTGATGTGTACACCTGTATAACAGGGTACTGACAGGTGATGTGTACACTTTTTTAAGGGGGTACTAACAGGTGATGTGTACACTTTTATAAGGGGGTACTAACAGGTGATGTGTACACTTTTATAAGGGGGTACTAACGGGTGATGTGTATGTCTGTATAACGGGGTACTGCCAGGTGATGTGTACACCTGTATAACGGGGTAATGACAGGTGATGTGTATGTCTGTATAACAGGGTACTGACAGGTGATGTGTACCCCTGTATAACTTGATACTTAACAGGTGATGTGTACACCTGTATAACGGGATACTTAACAGGTGATGTGTACACCTGTATAACAGGGTACCGACAGGTGATGTGTACACCTGTATAACGGGGTAATGACAGGTGATGTGTATGTCTGTATAACAGGGTACTGACAGGTGATGTGTACACCTCTATTATGGGGTACTGACAGGTGATGTGTACACCTGTATAACGGGATACTGAACAGGTGATGTGTACACCTGTATGACGGGGTACTGGCAGGTGAGGTTACACCTGTATAACAGGGTACCGACAGGGGATGTGTACACTTTTATAAGGGGGTACTAACAGGTGATGTGTATGCCTGTATAACAGGATACTGACAGGTGATGTGTATGCCTGTATAACGGGGTACTGACAGGTGATGTGTACACCTGTTATACAGGGTACTCGACAGGTAATTTTTACACCTGTAAAACAAGGTACTTGACAGATGATTTGTACAGCTATAAAACAGGATATTTGACAGGTGATTCGTACACCTGTAAAACAAGGTACTTGACAGGCATTTTTGTACACCTGTATAACAGGGTACTCCACATGTGATTTGTACACCTGTAATGTATAAGCAGCATGCACCACACACCATACAGTACTACTGTATTTACCGAGTCGGAACTATCCCAGGGGTTTGCCTCCTGTGCCACCACAGCTTTTGCCTCCAACTTCTCCTCTACTGGAGGTGCTTCTTCCTTCTTTGGTTCCTCTTCCTTATTTTCCTCAATCTGTTCCTTATTTTCCTCCTTCTTTTCTTCCCCGGTGCTCTTGTTAGGTTTCTTGGTTGGAGTTCTCCTCGGATCTTCTTTGAAATCAATTGATTTTCCACTATAAGCATCTGGTACCATATTGAAGAAAGAGTGCTTTACTCGTACTTTGGTCGGGTGAGGATGAGGTGCAAAAAAATCGAAGTCATCATCATCCTTGGGGTTTTTCTTATCCTTGTCAGCCATGACTCTTACTAATAACTTGACTGGATATACAACTGAAAGTTAAAAATAGATCTTGGGATATCCCCTCTCTATATATATATGCATAAATAACCAGGTGCAAAATCAATCAAGTTCATTATACCAGTCCCAGCTGCTGAAAGCATCAATGACATACTACCATACTACGTCTATACGTAGCTGTTAGAGATTCTATACTGGGCAATTGATCAAATGACGATATGGACAAAATTCTGATTTGAGTTTTCAAAAAAATATTGTTATAAATATAATTATCATCACAATATTCTAGGAACAATATTTAGCTTTAAATTCATAAATCAATTTAATCAATTTGCTGCATCAGTGGCTATTTTCTATTGATCCAACATCCAATTCTTTATGAATTTATATAATAAGATAAGAAAGACAACCAGATTGTCATGAAATATTTGGCAGAATCAAACTTTACACTGACCTTGCGTAAATCGAGTAATTCTCCTCCACAGCCGAGGTAGGCTTATTTCACATGTGATGTTCTGCAAAGCTCCCAAACAACACCGAACACACTTACAATATGTTGTCTGGCTCTTAGCTTTCGTGTAACGTATCCATGTGCAGGGCCTAGATCTATTTGTTGAGTGTGCTTCAGCAGCTGACTCAAATTTTACTCCCGCGCCACTGATGACTCAAAAAATCGATGTAACATCCGTCGCCCGGGTGACCAGCCCCCCATCGCTTTCGCACATACACACAACCTTGTCTCGTCGGACAGAGCTTTATTAATCATTCATTTATAAATGTTGACAAGTAGTTTCAACTACGCATGCAAAATTATACCGGATGATACTGGCAGTTCTGCTGTGACGGGGCATATACGTGTACAGACACATTACGGGTTACGTCTTCATGGGTGTGAGAAGCATCAGGATGATGTATGTTTTACAATGCTAACTGTTGCTGCTTACCCTCACTTTCAAGAGGCTGTTCCCAATATTGATGAGTCATTATACAGTGTCATTATTAGTAATTCAATGATAGATCTACATAAGAGTCCCGAGTGCTGTACTCGTAGAATGTTGATGGGACACGTAGAATTTCTGGAAATACTAAAATTTGAAAATGAGGGACCCATTAATTGTTTTTAGCAATAAACTTGAAAATGACCCATGGAAACACATTTTGTAGATTGATAACTGGTAACTACACATTATATTGTGTATCTATGATTCAATACGTGTCGTTGAACTTATTTAAGGCTTAGATTAAAAAAAAAAATCATGTTGTCAGCCACGTACGTAATATTAATCGTCTATCTACAACCGATTGACTCATATTTTACTAATTGGACATGCTACGTCTATAGCCAGTACAAACTACAAACTAAACGTTCTCATAGACTACGCCGAGTGGACAGCGTTCTCCATACGCAGGAACAGGGCTCTTCATCGAACCTAACAATTAATATAGTTAGAGCGTTTTATAAATTGACTCAAGAGTTAGAAGTCTTCAATGAGCAACCATCCGCGTTCAGATTCACAGGGTATGTCACATAAAATTGTCGTCACGTTATGGATAATGTAGAAATGTATATATGCCGTGGCGCTCACGTATATATAGCATGTCACTGTGCTCATATAGAGCAACACCCTTGAGTCACTGAGAAGTACACAGTATCAGCCTGATATTGNAGATCTCTTGTGCCATTTGGGTTATTTTATTTGGTGTGACTGAGTTTTAAATAGAAAAAAACCCGCACATAGTAATAACTCTTTCGATGTCAGCGCCGTCATCGTTGGAAAACGGTTTTCCGTGCGATAATTCTTGAAGGAATGATCGATTGGCTTTTCATAACAAATTTCCCGACACACTTATAGTATCAATTGCTCGCTCAAGGTCAATTTTGAACAGAATCTGAAAATCAATATGGCCGTCAGTGGCCATCTTAGCTTTAAAAAAAAATGTGAACAGTCGCATGGTTCCGTGCAATAAACCTTGATGTTGATGCTTTGATTTCATGAAGCTAAGACTATCAATCGATTTTGTCTTCTATTTTATGTAATTCTTTGTACACCACATTACTCCTGTTGGAGGAAATAATGCTTGACGACTTCGGTCACGGGGACACGAAGGGATGACATACAAATGCATACTCATATAAAAAAAACATGAGCGACCCTTTACAGCATACAGAGGTTACGCTTGAGTACAGATTCTTCGTTACTTAGTGGAGTAAGGGAAATAACTGCTATATTTTAACAAGAAATAGCAAGACTAGCTAAATAGGGTTGGACTAGTAGATATAAGGAAATAGAAACAAGACTATCACTTAAAGACTTTAAACAAAAGGAATTTTATAATGTACACCCACAAAACCGCTGACAATAGCATTTGATATTAGATAACATATTACAAGAAAAAAATCAATTTTATGATAAAGAGTCTATATATTTATTTTATTTTTATATAAAATTCATCTTTATATTTTCTCTCTGCTTCCCAAATAATAAGTTTTTCTAGCACCTTACAAAATTCTTCGCTTTTAGCCTTACTTTTTCGTGTTCACCTAACTGGGGAAGGGTTATGTTCCCAGGCCAGGACAAATACCGGAGACCTTAAAAATGGTATAGTTGTTATTCCCTGTTTTAAAAACGTTCGGTATTTATGGTAATTACAACAACTGGTAACCCGTTGCAAGTACAATCATGTGACTGAGAATACTGTGCTGAATGCCTTTGGTATGGTATTTCAGTGAGGTAGCACTTAAGTCATCATCAGATCCGCGCTGTCACAAACAGCCAAACAGCCCATAATTACGCCTCCAGCACACATTCACACATGCACGAAGACACTAGCAAACAAATTCATAAATGTATACGACGTCCCTATGCCATAGTAAGGACTGATTCCACTAGAAAAAAATCCCATTTACACGACTATTTAATATTGTTTAAAAGCGTGTTTGTTTCCACCCATATAACATGTTATATCTTATGTGTATTGATACATTTCCATGATGCAAATATAAATCTTTGCAATGATATCCCATTATAAAAAAGCTTGTTGTTAGATCGGACTTTCTTATCTATTTCCGTGGTGTAAGGAACCTTATAGACGTATTAATATACTACTGGCTTATATGTCTCTGGTTGTATGTTACTTGGGACCAGAGACGTAATCAGAGGCTGTATATGTCTCTGATGTAATATATACGTCTCTGTTGGGACATGATGATATTTAAATACCAAAATTTTATTTCAGTTTTGTTTTCAAGGGGTATTTGAGATGCATCTATAAGATTTTTGGAAGATCACTCTAAAACCTTTACACTGAAACAGTTTGGTTTCTCAAAAAATATGCATGTATTACGTACGTTAGTCACCGAGTCATTGATATAACTATGATCAAAGGGAATTATTTCGTTCCCTTTTCCCACACTGACCCCATCGTTAATGTAAAAACAACTAAGAGTGGGACCAAATGGCATTAGTTCGAGAGTACCATTTATATATGGTACAGCCAGGTTGTATAGAACTGCTGCGCAAATGGACTTGAGCAAGTCTATTTGCTTGACGTAAATCTCGCAATTTCTCTCGACGAACGAGATCCTTTTCACCGGCACCACCATTACAACTAGCAGGTACATAGAACCACGTTAGTGAATCTTTCAACATCCACTTCGCTTGAAGTTCTTTTCACTTCAATTGTTGATATAAGGATACTATTTAAATCATCTTAACTTAGAAGTCCTATTTTGTTTTTGTTACTCCGTAACAAACGATATATTTTCACTTTTACACTCGACATTGCATGGATATCGAGATGTGCCCACGTTGACAGAACGGCGCAAGAAATATTATTGAATGGAAATTGCCACGGGTGGTTGTTCTAACACTTATAGGAATGCGTTGAGGTAGCCATGCCGTCATGGTCATCATGCGGTTAATCAGTAAATACACAATACTGTGAAATCCTTGGACAGTACTCTGAGCCATTTCGTACGTGCGTCGCTGACCTTCCTTGTCTATCAGAAAGTGAATCTGTATGCTAGCCTACCTATTTAACAACCTTTTTAATGCGCTACATGGAGGTATGGCTCGTAGAAGTATAACCCATGTACAGGTTGGGGGGCACAACGGCGCATATGGGTAAAAATGCAGTAATAATTTTTATAACTCCCCGGGGGGGGGTTAAAGTGAAATAAAAACACGAGTTCTTTTAAACACTGAGTAAAAAAGGGCATTTTGCTCCATGTGTTTAAAAGAACTTTGTGTTTTTATTTCACTTTATTCCCATCTGAGGAATAAAATTATAGCTGTAAATGGGTAACTGTTACCCAAATGCAGGATTATTACCCATATCGTTATGTGCTGTTGTGCCCTATCTGATCACTGATGTAAAATCGGATGACTGATTAAAAATAAAAGATAAATATGATTTTAGTTCTACGGTACTGCAAGTTACAGTACCAATTGTTCAACTAAGCTTAGGCCTACTTGACAAAAATGATGGGTAGACTATTTTATACTTTCACAAAATTGCATACCACAACCAGATGCCAGAGTCCAAGAGCAGTAGTTTTCATTGGAACAGGAAAATAACGTTCTACTATAGGTGCCTACCCCTCCCAATCACCCCTACCAAAAGAAAATTATCCTCTTGTCCATAAAAGTGTAATTCAGAATTAATGATGATGGTCAAGACGATATGACCCTCGCGCATGCATATTTAGCGTTGGGAATCGGTTGAAATTTTATGATCGATCATTGGTTACCATTAACCAACCGATGATCGATTAATAATCGTTCTATAGAAATACACAAGTGAAATCCTCCATGCTGTTGTTGCGAGTCACTTGGGCAAATAAAAAGCGATACCATGTAATTATAATTTAAGAAATGCCTCTCTTCAAACACTGAATCTGTAATATATAGTCCTAACAAGCAACCATGAGCTAAAAGTACGTCGTCCAGTGATGATGCCAACAGTTTTACTTTGTAGCTGGGGGAAATGTCTACTGAAAACTCCATAATATCTACACATTAGCATTCCGACTAAAATGAATCATCGATTTTGTACTCAATTAATCGGTTTGTTAGCCTAACTGACCGACGTTCAACGTGACGCATTACATGTACCAACATTTTCCAAGCTAAACGAGTTCTGATGCATGCTGAAATATTCAATATTGATAGTTGCTTTTTTTTCGTCCCATTATTTAGAATATTTGAGTTATTTCCCCTTGTGTGCACAAACCTATCTGATGTGGATATGTAGGACATGTAGCTTTAGACTTTTCATAAAAAACGGAAATGCATGGTTGAAGAAAATGTGTAAATTAGTCTACATTGTTAATTTGGATTCCATAGTTTTAGTGATAAACTTTCTAGGAATGGATGTGAGAGGGTCTAATTTCATCTAAATTTTAATAGATGTTGGCATCCTGACGAGAGTCCTTGAAATTTAATAACATCGCCAACACATCTTTCACTATAACCAGTTCCAGGTAACGACCCATAATAGTGATTTTGTGTCTTAAGAGATCGATTCAATGTAGTTGGTTCTTGTGGATGGCAATCCATGTCAAGAAAGCTACCAGCTGCAGGGGCAGCTTAACAAATGACTGGATTAATAAATGTGCATTTTCTTTTGCAGGTAAGGATACGGCAGAACCATGGGTGCGTACAAGTACATACAGGAGTTATACAGGAAGAAGCAGACTGATGTTTTGAGGTTTCTTCTCCGAGTTAGGTGCTGGCAATACCGCCAATTGTCTGCTGTTCATAGGGCCACCCGTCCCACTCGCCCAGACAAGGCCAGGAGGCTGGGATTCAGGGCTAAGCAGGGTAAGTGCCCAGTCCTTAGTAAATTATTGTAAAAGCAAGGTTTCTAACTTCTGTACACTCTTGTCTCTTTTTAAACTTTTGAAACGGCTAGCGTTATCATTTGATCGGACTGGATCTATTTAGGTTTTGGTACTGGTAGTTTCTAAAACAAATCCGTAATTAGGTTGTATAAAATCCAGTTGGAATTCAATTACTTTTTAATCTGAAGGGCACTAATAATGATTGTGAAGTGGGCTTCCACTTCAGATAGAAAGCATTGACGGTACAAGGGTATTGTTATCCTCAGTACTCCAGTGATAACCTGCACTTGGCTCTCTGGAATATGTCCTAACAAAATTGAAGACACATGGCGAGCAAATTCATCGGCCTTTGGGGGGGGGGGGACCCCGCCAGGCTGATACCTGGGCCTACAAAGATTACAGAGAAGTACAATCCGACTTCAAAGCCAGTCAATTTTACTGTTGTGTGACAGATTTATTTTATGCACATCAAGGTGGCAACACTTGAGCATTCGATTTTGTCGTGACATATTCCAGGGTACAGAGAGAGTAAGTGAGCGTAACCCCTAGAGTATCGAGGATGGGGTGTTGTCCAACCCTCTACCTGTGGTCACTGTTGCTATTTCTTTTCTATTCCCTAATTACTGAACACTTGACACCTATTTGATTGCATTATGAAATCAATTATGATGCATGATATTGTAAATGAGATTAATTAAAGACATCATGTTTATACTCTTTGAAAAATAAGCTAGATAGCAATATTTTTTCCATAAATAAATGATGATTACAATTCCACAGATATTGATCGCTTGACAAACTTTCTGTGTTATAGCAATAAAAAAAACTATTTCATATGAAACTTCCTTGGCATATATATGTAAAAATGTATTGTTTCCAGGTTACATCATCTACCGAGTCCGAGTTCGCCGTGGTGGACGCAAACGTCCAGTTCCTAAGGGATGTACATATGGTAAACCAAAGACCCATGGAGTGAACCAGCTTAAGTTCCAGCGCTCTCACAGATCCATTGCAGAGGTAAGGCAAAAGAATGGCAGCCAGTATTCAATGAAAATGGAACAGTGTTTAAACAAATATTTTTATTCGTTCAAGGCAAAAAAAGTGTGTATTCAAGGACATACAGTTCCACTAGGGTAGAATTAGGAAGTTTTTTGTTTGGGCAAATCAGATTTTTCAAAATCTGCCTGTGAACATGTACTTTGAATATAAGTCGTTTACCACTGATGTTAAGGATTTCCTACCAGCCAAAGAAATTTAGTTGCCTGAAATGAAGACTTCAGGGTCTTCATTGCATATCTGAAATGTTGGAAGTTACTGGAGAATATATTGAATTACATTTTAATGATTTTATGATCAAATTGATTTTATCTTTTCTTTTGAAGTTAAAACCTAGCATTTTTGACTTTAAAGAGTTCGATAAGTGGTTTCAATTGATCTTGATTAAATAATTAGTCTTAAAAGCAAGTGTGTGTGTTCATGGTTTCACCCTTCAAAAAGCTTCTGCAATAGGGAGAGAAATCTAGGGTTTGTAGAAATACCCTTTCATAATGCAAAGTTAATTATTTCAGCCTTTTGACAAGGATTCAGGGTTAGACACTTAACTTTTTTGCTTGGTAGTCCACAGGACTAGTGTAATATATTATTTACTAGTCCTTCGTCAATGTAACTAGGCCAAGATTTCCTCGCATCGCAATCTATAGCACAAAACATAAAAAGTAATCGCCTGTAGGGGACTTCAAATAACTACTACCATAAAAAATTTAAAATATGGTGAAGTTTTAGGAAAATTTTGACAATTATCATGCAATGTGTCTTATTTTAAGCAGTTTCTAAATTTTAAAAAGGAATCTTCTTATTTTATAATCATATTTTTCACAAGTCCAGAGGACCAGTTAGGTTAGGTGATTCCCTAGTCCTCGCTGAACTCTACTTGTCCAGGACTAGTGTTAGTGTCGACCCCTGGGATTGTCAGAATTTGGTTGAAATATCAATTTTAAAAAAACCTGTCCGACATTGCTACCTTTAATAACAAATGCAACCATACCTAATTTGAGATGTGGTTAATATTTGCAAGAGTTGCCTACCTTTTAATTGCTCTGCCTTTTGAGTTTACTCTCCCAAAGGCTTCAAGTTAAAAGCTGCCTGGTTGCCAGGATATTATAATTAGTACCAATATTAAAACATTTGATGGATTATGATAAATGCCCCAAAATAACATGTTGTAAAGTTTTCCACTTGTCGGGGATTAGGAAAGGCATGGGCTATAAGAATAGAGCATAGTTTTTATATACAAAACTGGTTCTCTCATATTGTTAAGCCCTCCTTATTGCTGCTGATTCACTAACATTTTCATGAAAATATTTTTGTTCTTTAAATAATAAGTGTCATTTTTGCTTTGTAGGAGCGTGTTGGTCGCAGGTGTGGAGCCCTCCGAGTGCTCAACTCCTATTGGGTAGCTCAGGATTCCAGCTATAAATTTTTTGAAGTGATTCTGGTTGATCCCTTCCATAAGGCTATCCGCAGAGACCCAAAAATACAGTGGATCTGCAAGGCTGTCCACAAGCACAGGGAGCTTCGCGGTCTTACTTCTGCTGGAAAAAGTTCCCGTGGCCTTGGAAAGGGTCATGGATTCCACAAAACTGTTGGAGGTTCTCGCAGGGCAAACTGGAAGAGGCAGAATTCTCTCAGTCTCCGCAGAAAGCGTTAGTAATAACGCTTGCCTTTTTTTCCTTTTTTTTTTAACTTGCTTGGTTAGAAATAGCTGAGCAACTGCCCTGTGCAGATCAAAAAAATAATTTGATGGAATAATAAAACATCAGCAGAAGAAAATCTGGTGTTTGAGTCTTATTTCATGTGTACTGTTTGATGTGTCGTAACACTGGGACCAACATTACCATCGCTGTTAATTCAAGGTTTGATGATTCTGTCTCGCTATATTAATGGTTCAATATTTTGAGCACACAATATAAATTCCTGGTTCAATAAAATACAGAAATGTTAATTGAGTTAATTGGCCTCTCAACAGTGAATACATTTGTTGTGATTAGATGGTATGTTGCATGATAATCCCGTATCTATAACTAGGAGGTACAGCAAGCGGTCAAAGGTCAAATTTTCGTAATGTTTGGTGGAAAGTTATTGCTGATTGGCACCGTTTTTTAGTCGCCTGCCCATTTGTGCTATGGCACAGTGTTTGTCCACCAAGTCTCGAAGTTTTAATCCAAACTTCCTAATATGGTAACAAAAGGACTGGGTAATGTAAAATAAAGTCCAAGGCCTCTTGTTAGTCCCCTACCGATGAATTTGGGGGGACTATAGGTTTCCTCTCCGTCCGTCTGTGTACAGTATGTATGTACGCAACACCAATGTTTGTCGGCGCTCTAGCGGCTTCATTCCTTGAGGGATTTGGATCAAACTTCATACAATAACAAGGGCCCATAATACCCTAGACAAGTTCGAGTTCCAGGATTGTCAGGTCAAGGTCACCGTTACTATGACCGCGCTCTAGCGGCTTCATTCTTTAAGGGATTTTGATCAATCTTCACACAATTACAAAGGACCATAATATCTTGGGACATTCCACAAGTTCGAGTTTTAGGGTGGTTGGGTCAAGGTCACCGTTACTATTTTTAGAAAATTCATTGTCGGCAATCTAGCTGCTTCATTCCATAAGGGATTTTGATCAAACTTCACACAATTACAAAGGACAATAATATCTTGGGACAAGTTTGAGTTTCAGGGTTGTAGAGTTGACGTCAAGGCCACAATTACTATTAATACAAAATCCTGGACAAGTTGGAGCCAGTGATGGACTGATCTATATATAATAATCGATCGATTTGTCCTGTTCGATTCCAATTATCGATAACAAATTCCATAATCGATATTATCGGTTCATTACTGAACTTAAAGTGTCAAATGGGTATGTTATATACAGTATACATGGAAATTCATTTATTCTGATTTTTTTTTACAATTTGATTGATGATAATCTAGAATAGAAATATTACATTAAATTCAGGTACAAGCTAATTGTTTACTTTTCATTTTCCCAAATTAAAACAAACCAAAGGGCACCATTTTTTATGAATCATTGCAGTGTAATAGCTAGTGGGGCCGGTAGGGGACATGCATTGCTTTAGCAATACTCAGTATGCTTGTTCTTCCTTAAAAATCCCTGTCCCACTGCACTGTGGTTTTACATATATATACACAAAAATATGTACTGTCACTCCGTTTGGGATATAGATGTATCACTTCTTTTGACCGGGTAGTGCAGTCGGCTAGAACAATAGCACAACAATTTGAGGTCCTCTGACCTTGGTTCGAATCCCAGTCTAGCCCCGCTGAACTTTTGAAATTTATTTTGTTTATTTATCTTCATTATTTTTTTTAAAAAAAGCCCCGTTAGGTATGGATTTCTTTTCAGAAATGATTAAACAGTTTCTGATGCATAATTACAATTTTGGGCAGATGGAAAGGGGATCTTAAACACAACACAATAAAACCTTCCGAGCTGACAAATCCATGCCTGCGGATATTGCCATAGAACGATGTTGTAACGATGGCATTATAACCCTAACCAGCAGAGGACTAAGTGTGTTAAAGCTAAACAATCTAGCGCACAACTGAATGTTAAACTCTGCAAATTACCATGGTAACGAGAAGTTATATACATAAACATCCGTATCTGAACAAATTTTATATCAGAACATTTGACTTTCGACTCTTATTAAGAAGCTTTCTTTCTAAAAGAAAAAAACCTAAATGAAATGCACAAAGAACGATATTGTGAAAATGATTGAGTTCAGTTGGAAATGTTGTTGAGTTCGGTAACTTTTTTTTGCAGCACGTTTCAAAAGTCTTCATAAAATGACCTCGACGTACTTTCAGAGTCAAATATGTTGAAAAGAACCATAATTAAGTGCTTAAGTGATACTATCTTGTATGACTGAAGACCATGTTTCTTGTACTAGTATATTGTGTTAAGGTCAAAGGTCAACGTTACAAGCTCGCCATGGTCAAATGGTTACATTGGCTATAATTAGTAAAACAAAAATCTCTAATCCTTAATTCCTCTCCAATTCTGTGAAGCCAAAGCCCTGTTATTTTGGCAGTAGATTTCAGGGCTATAGTTCTATTAAGTTTCCTCATATCAATGGCATTGATCATTGCCGAGAAGTTATTCAACATTCTTAAAACATTCTTTCCCCAAATATCTTTCTTCTAGCAGAACATCTCACTTCTCCATTATACACTTCCATACTTCATACGAAAATTAAAGGAACACCTTCGTTCTCTTACAATGAAAGTTTTCTGACTGAGTTTAGTTGAGGGAGTATAAGAAGAATAAAACCAGATGTTCAGGAATATTTAAGCGCGTCTGCGTCGATGTCAAATCAAGGTGATTTAACGTCCTCAAAGTCAGTACCGAGGACGTGTCAACAAAACTACAAGGCACACAAATATTAAAACGATCGACGTGTATCGCACCAGGAATATAGAATACTCCGCAATGAATTCGTGATGGCAGCCATTATGCTTGCCCATTATCTTCTTCATCCTGCATTTCTCGATATCTTGCATTATGAGTTTGTCAATCAACAAACAACATTTATTAAGGATATCGTAAGTCCTGGAATGTTAAATCAACTGTGACACGTCAGTGGGGAGCAGGAATATTACTGTCCAGAAAGGGAAAGTTCATAAATAGAAAACTCGAAATCGTCAAGCTTATAGTACAGCTCAGTAGTTAGTCGTCCTTGATGGTCATGTTTTAAGCGAAGATCAAGGCCAACCGCTTGGGTAGAAAAACATACAATGTCCTATTAAAATTCAGAGGGGTAAATGCGATCGACTTGGTCAATAAATGTTTTGCTACCTTTAACACAACAAACGAGAATGAAGGCGTTCCTTTAGTTTGGTGTTAGGTATGGTAGTGAAGGATGTACAAAGTCATAGGTGTCGTAGTAAGGGACTATCTTTTTCTGACGGGTAAAGTATGATGAAGTGTTTACGTTTGCTTTTGACAATATAAGTGTTAGTGTAGTAAATTCAAAATATCCCTGGAGAAGTTTAGGAGATAGACGGTCAGTGTTTTGCAAATATTGTTAGGATCATTTATTAAAACAATAACTGGGTCCAAGTTAGAACTTTGTAACAAACTGCTGGACGCATCTGTTACATGCGTTTCATTTAGAGATACTTTACAGAAGACTTTGTATGGATTTGTTCTTCATATGGTCAAAATGTAAAACTTCACCAAAATCACATATTATATAAAATTCGTATCGTTGACCAAACAAAGCAAAAGAACGAACCATTCTTTTTTTGAGTTTTATCATTATTACTCTTTGAAATAATTTATGGGTTTAAAAAGGAAACATTTGAAGGAAAGCAAATCCTTAAAGTCATTCCTTTTTAAAACGTATCTAGATCAATAAGTATCCTGTATTTGTGTACGTAACTATTTAATAATAGGGATGCTACTCGTTAATCTGAATTGTGATGCTTCTAACGTATATTGATTCGACCCTTAGGTAAAATAATCACAACAACGTTTCTTTACGTACATGATTCATGTATAAAATGTGTTTCTAAATAATTCACGTTTATCTTTTAAACTTTTTAGGTCACCTGAGCTTTAGCTCAAGTGACCTATTGCTATCCGTCTTCGTCCGTCGTCGTGCGTCTCCGTCGTCCGTCGTCCGTTAACATTTTACATTTTCAACTTAAGCTGAAATACTGGCAAAGGGATTTCATTAATATTTCATGGGAAGGTTACTGACATCTCCCTGACCAAGTGTTGTTATTTTTCGGGTCGATCAAAAATACAATATGGCTGCCACGGCCGCCATTTTGAAAAAAACTATTTCAAACTTAAAGTCAAGTTCTGCGTGGCCGATTGAACTGAAACTTTGTAGGAATGATTGACTGATGGTCCTGACAAAGTGCTGTTATTTTTCGGGTCGATCAGAAATCCATTGGCCGACACGGCCGACATTTTGAAAAAACTATTTCAAACTTAAAAACAAGTTATAATAGGCCGATTTAACTGAAACTCGGTCTAGGAATGATCAGCTCATGGTCCTGACAAACTTAAGTTAACGTTATACTTAACTATTTTGTACTCAAATTGGTACATATTTCAAAAAAAATAAAAAATACTGTATGTGCCTCTTGTTTGATATAATGTGAAGCTAAATATAATTAAGGTATTTAGAACTATGCATACAAACATGATGAACAAAGCTTAACACTGGTGATATCGACGAACAGTAGTTACTAGTGTAAAAAAGCAGGGTCGTTAAGTGCATTGACATCTAACCTGCTGGCACGTGATGGATTTGGCAATACTTTCAATCAGATCAAAGTGTTACTTTCTTCACAAACAATGTACGTATTAAACGTGTCGTAACGTTTCAAGAACGACTGGTTCCTTTGTCAAGCTATGACAGCTAGTCATTGTTGCGACAACATTTTGATATGATTTGGCACTACTACATGTATTTAATAGTTATTTTTTTAGATGGTCTGAAATTTCTCTTATTGATAGTACAGATCAAAATTTCTATTTTTAAGTTCAATTGATAATGGGACCACGGCCCTAGGTACATAATCATGCACTGATGTATACACTGGTAACTGGTGTATACAATGTTAACTGGTGTATACAGTGGTAACTGAT